ATTATTTTGTACATTCTCACAAAAGCTGTATGAGTTAATTGTGATTATTATCCCTGTTTTATATAAATGAGGTTCAGAATGGTTGACTTGACCAAGAACATACAGTAAGTGATGAAATTGAGTAAACCAAAGTCATTATCATGAGGTTGCCTATCAAATAGGGATCAGAGGGGTGAAATGCAAGAAGGGAATGGAACAGTAAAGAGGTGAGAAAGGGCTTTGGATATGGGGGAAAGGCTTTTAATAGTTACTCATTTTCTACTTCCTTGGTTCCTCTTGAGAATTCCTATGTCATCTGGTTTATAACATTTTATAATAGCACACGTTCTGCCTTTGCATTATAGTTATTACTGGCAGGTTTGTAGTTTTCCTAACTAGTTTATAAGCAACTTAAGAAAGGATCCCTGGTGGCGTAGTGGTTAAGAGCTCGACTGCTAACCAAAAGGTCAGCAGTTGGAATTCCCCAGCCGCTCCTTGGAAACCCTACGGGGCAGTTCCGCTCTGTCCTGTAGGGTCGCTATGAATCGGAATTGACTCGATGGCAGCAGGTTTAAAGAAGAAAGATTTTAGCATTTATAAAGCACCTGCTACCTGCCAGGAGGAGCCCTGGTGGCACGGTGGTTAAGAGCTAGAGCGAGCTACGGCTGCTCACCAAAAGGTCAGCAGTTTGAGTCCACCAGCCACTCCTTGCAAATCCTATGAGGCAATTCTGCTCTGTCCTGTAGGATCATTATGAGTCGGAATCAACTCGATGGCAGTGGGCTATATGCCAGGAAATACTAGGTGCTTTTACATGATTTTTTTAAGTTTTCAACAAGTTAATTTTGTTATTTTTTTCTTACCACAAACTAAATGAACATTCACAAAAGAAAAATGGTAAAATGTAGATAAGCAAAAAGAAAATAAAAACCACTTGTAGCCTCAGCATGCCAAGTCATAACCCATTAACACCTTTATATATATATCTTTAGCAGACCTTTTTCAGTGCACATACAAACTTAATGAAAATGGGATTATGCTGTAGTTATGTTTCACAACGTACTTTTTCACTTAGTATATCATGAGCTTGTTTCTTTGTAATTAAATATTTTCTAGACCATCTTACACTGCAGGCTGATCCATTTTTCTTCAACTATATATTGTACCAGTGCCCTGTGTGGATGTTTACAAATTCCCTAAATTTCTGTTTATCTGGAAATGCCCTAATTTCACCATCATATTTGAGAGACAGTTTTGCTGGGTATATAATTCTTGGCAGGCAGTTTTTTTCCTTCAGGGCTATAGATATGTCATCCCATTGCCTTCTTGCCTGCATGGTTTCTGCTGAGTAGTCCGAGCTTATTCTTATTGACTCTCCTTTGTAGATGACTTTTTGTTTATCCCTAGCCGCTCTTAAAATTCTCTCTTTAACTTT